GTCTTTTTCATGTTGATTGATCTTGATGACCTTTACAGATTGGGAATAGAAATATTTTTAGCAGGTATGTTGAAACCAATTAATTGAAGGAAATGAGCCTGAAGATGAACTTGAATAAACAAAAGAACGAAAAAAAATCCAAGCATCTGATTCCACGCCTAAATGATGAATGAACCCATCTTGGAAGAATCATATCAGGTAAGTTCATTATACTTTTTTGTCAATTTTTTTTGTGAAACATCTTCTTATAAAAGATCACACACTTAATTTTGCCGAATTCCAATAAAGTGATATTAATATTTAGTGTAAATATGAGCGTTTTCTTTCAAGGGTATGTGCACATAGTGTCATCTGTTGGTGGAGAAGATACAATGTTTGGAGGCATAGACATGGTGGAAGCAAGGCATGAGGTTGCATTTTTTAAGGAGAAATTGTTACAGCTTCATGAATTATCCTTTTAGAAGACTCTTCACCTAAATTGTTGATATAAGTCTCCGTTTCCAGTTGTTTCCATTGGATTTAGACTCAAATTTCTCAAAGTATGTTTTGTAAATCCCAAACACTACTTCAAAGTTCAAAGTAGGAAGTAGTTGGTATTCATTATATCTTTTGGAGCAAATATAAAAAAGGGTGTTTGGATTTTCTTTTCTTAAGTAATTATTTTGATTTCAAGAATTACAATCAGATAATAATTTGAGAAATTTAGGGATAATATGATACTTTTCCATTTATCCTGCAATAAATCTGATTTTGGCACTAAAGATTCTGTCATGATGACTTCTTATACTGGAATTGTTCTGAAAATATCATAACCTCTTTTAGATGCTATTATTGAGAAGAAAGTATCTCTTTCTGAATGCAACAATATTGTAACATCCTAAATTTAAGACTATATTATTAAATTAATAAGATAAAGGGGAAAATGATAGAGAAAAGTCATTAAATTTGCTGGGAAAATTACCCTAAGTCAAGGGAAAAAAGGGCATTTTTGGAATTTTACCAAAACTAGGTGGGGTTTTGTCACATGATGTTAATAAGATAAAAGGCAAAATGGTAGAGAAAAGTCATTAAATTTGTTGGGAAAATTACCCTAAGTCAAGGGGAATAAGGGCATTTTCGGAATTTTACCAAAACTTAGTGGGGTTTTTTCACATGATGTTAATAAGATAAAAGGCAAAATGGTAGATAAAAGTCATTAAATTTGCTGGGAAAATTACCCTAAGTCAAGGGGAATAAGGGCATTTTCGGAATTTTACCAAAACTAGGTAGGGTTTTTTCACATGATGTTAATTTGTTGCTGCCCACGTTTCCCCAAAAAAGCTACAATATGGTAAACCATCACCATCCATTTGAACTTTGAAGAAGATGACAATGCAATGTAAGTTTATGTTAACTATTTTCTCTTATTATTTATTTTTGAATTTATGACACTTTGGTTGAATTGAATCTTATACAGTGGGAATAAAAGGATGAGACAGAAGTCTATTAAGTTAACTAACCATTTTTCTTACTTTTAAATTGTGTTTAATTATTTGCCAATTTGGTCTATCAAGTGTCATGTTTTTCTTTGGGTTTGTCCATGTGATCGAATTTTGAAATACAGATTGAATTTAATCTAAAAATTAATTTTCTTTAAGTCGGAAAAAAATATTATATTCTACTGGTTACATCAGAACCAAACAAAATTAATTTAGATATGGCTTTAGTTCAATAATGATGTTTATTTGTCTTATGTTTCATATTTTTTTTGGTGTAATTTGGTGTATACAATCAATTAATGTAACTGAACTGAACATGCAGAAGAATAGACATGCAAGAAATAGCAAGGTACTCCATCCAAATGTTTAATATAACATTTTTTTATTATAACGTTGCATTTTCACTTTTTTTCACATTAACACATTGCTATTATGAGCAAAATACACATACAGAAAGGAAAAATGTTATGGAACAGTTATTAGAAACTAAACATCAATGTTATTGCAGGATATGGTGAAGGATCAAGTGATTCACATTTTTACTCCTGAGAAACAGTTGTGATGATAAAAGTTTTGTACTTTTTTATCACACCGCAGTCGCACAAATGGCAGAATAGAAATAATTGAAGTAAAAAAATCTATGTTTATGTATCATTATGATGTTTTGTTGCTGGGATTTGTGGTAATAATACCCTTATAATGTTTTTGTTTTACCTTTTCTCTATTAAGTATAGCCATGATTAGTTTTTAAGAAATATCTTAAAAGAATGTCAACTGAAAGTTTGAGGAATTTGTATAATCATTACGTGGTTAATTGTAAAGAATGTGAAAATCTTTTTATAATAATTTTTAATCATTTATTTTTAATTGCTGATTAATATCCTTTAATGACACTCATTCCGATATCTAAGATTATTTGTATAAGTTGCATAAATTGGTAAAAGAATACAGAAACATTGTTACATAAATAAACATTTAATTGGTGTCAACTACTACATGGTTACCGGTAAAGATGACAATGTAGGGTATAAAACTTTGTTTCATAATCAAAGATTGAGATTTCAGTATACCGACCTAACCTAATACAGTAGGGTATAAAGCTTTGTTCCACACTTTCAATTAGATTTTGAACCCATTAAAATGCTTAATAGATTAAGCACTTAGTCATGAAAGTTGTTTGTTCGAAATAATAGCATTGTACTTATTTTCAATAAAAATTATTTTACTTTTTCTTATTTAAGCATTGTACTTTCAAATATAGCATCATACTTTAATTTTTAATTGTTATTTTAAAAAAAAATTATGTTATTTTCTTATTTAAGGATTGTACTTTCAAATATAGCATCATACTTTAATTTTAAATTCATATTTAAAAAAATATACGTTTTTTTTCTTATTAAACCATTGTACTTTCAAAGTACAATGGTTAAATAAGAAAATAAAACAACAGATTAAAAAAATGAAGATTTAGAAATGAATGTTAAGTATATTACAAACAAAAAAAAGTAGATTTTACAAATCACCATTTAAAATTATAACAAATTCCTAATTCGTTTTAATGATTTTGAACCATTTTACCCCTCATATGTCATTTATGATTTTGGACCATTTTACCCCTCCGCTCTCCATTTTTATTGAAATGCTTATCTGTTGCCAAAGAAAATATGAATAAGAAAAAAAAACATAATTTTTTTTGAAAATATGATGTTATATTTGAAAGTTCAATGCTTAAACAGTTAATTGTTTTACCTTTATTTAAAATAAAGATGTGATACATTGATTTATAAAAGTACTTGCGTATCTAATAAAAGTAGCTTTGCAGGTTTTGTTAGCAAAACTCCTGTTTTTCATTGGCACTAATTTTTTCACTCCTACATGCTAATCAATTGTTTTTTTAAATTATTTATAATATTCGAGTGCAAAATTATTGTTGAACTTGCAATTCCATGTGAGAAACCAGGTTTACGAGTGTTTGAAGGATTCACAGTGGGTTTTCATCCAAGATTATGGGAAATTGTGAAAATTTATATTATATTTTATAAATCATGATTAATTTGAAGTTGTGTTGTGAGAATTTATATTATATTATAGAGGAGATGTACTTCCATTTTTTGGTTCCTTAAATTAAAGTTTTGTTAGAAAAGTACTATTTTACCATTTGTTTACTTTATTGCGGCTTTGATACTATATGACAACAATTACATGCCTTTCACATTAAGTAAAAAACTATTTTAATTTTTAATTTTTTTAATTGGATTCTATTTTAATTTAATTTTTTTAATTGTTTGTGATTTTTAAGGTTTCTCCAGAGACCGGTTTGGATGTTAATTTGTCAGGGGCAACCGGGTTGTCTTCAACATTATTGAACATTTATTGGAGATGTACAATTATTTTATATATCTATTATTCTATATTTCATCATGACTCGATTTTTAATAAAATTTATAAAATTTCAGGTGAAACCAGTGAGAATTCGTAAAAGCAAAATACATGTATTATTTTTGTACAATTATAACATATTTCTAATTCGTTTTAATGATTTAGGACCATTTTACTCCTCCTGCATCATCTATGATTTTGGACCATTTTATCTCTCCTCCCCCTATTTGTATTGAAATGCTTATCTGTTGCCAAAGAAAATATGAATAAGAAAAAACATAATTTTTTTGAAAATATGATGTTATATTCGAAAGTACAATGCTTAAATACTTAATTGTTTTACCTTTATTTAAAATACAAATGTGCTACATTGGTTTATAAAAGTACTTATATAACCTATTCATTCTTACCATTCTCATCCAAATGCAATAAGAAAATAAAAACAGAGGATTTATACCCCCTGCCAAATTAATCAGACAAACAAAAAAAGTACATTTTATTTTATTAGTTCTTGATTTATCTTTAATAACCCATCATTTTATTACCATAATCAACATTGCTCTTTAAAAAGAAAAATATATGTATTACTTTTTTACAATTATAATAAATTCCTAATTGATTTTAATGATTTTGGACCATTTTACCCCTCCCCCATTTGTATTGAAATGTTTTTGTGTTGTTGTATCTTGTCTGATCCACACTTTCAATAATATTTTGAAACCATTAAAATGCTTAATGGATTAAGCACTTAGTCATGAAAGTTGTGTCATCCATACTTTCAATCATATTTTGTCAACCTGTCCACCTGTCCACCAGACAGTATGACACTAGTTCAAATTGGGTAGGGATTATTTTTATTAATGTAATGTAAATCGTTTTATATGCTTATTTATTGAATTTTACTGCTTTCTATTAGGCCAACGCTTGGTGTGATTACATAAATGGTTTGTGGTACTCATTAAACAAAACAAAACAATGAATGGTATCATTATGAAGCAGTTAAACTTATCATCAAGTGGGCCCATATAAGATCAAATATTTTGGAATCCATAATGGAATCCCACACAATCTTTCTACCGCATAATTGAATAAATCACACACAAACATCTATCGACTGAATAACCGATTTTACATATAAAATGATTAATGTGCAATTGTGCATGCATCGTAATCATATGGAGGAATGAACGAAATCAATTGGAATCGAGGAAATTCAGTCGAAATTAACCTGAATAATGTGAAATGAACTCATAAATCTTAGCTATCTACACACTTTATAAGAATCAATGGTACAAAACTCACAAATCTCAGTTACATATCTCTCATTTCTTGTATAATCATTTGCAATTCGTGAGGTTCACAAGGTATGACAATGGCACCTTCATGTTTGAACCCGTATTCCTCTCCAGCTTCCTTTAGCAATCTTATGAAACCAGGATTCGTTAAGCATCTTAACTCAACCACAAATCTCTTCGGCTTCTCACACTTGACTGCAACAACAGCAAAGTGTCCAGGTAGCACTTCCTTCTCCAAATCTCCTTCAAACATCACTTGATCAACGTGTTGGCATCGATATAACAGGAAATGCTGCATTGAAGTAATTAGAATCTTGACGCCAACTATATAATTCTTCATGTTCTTGCCTTTATTCACTTAGTATCAAGTTAAAACTCAATTTAAAGTGCTTATTTGTTGGGTGAAGGGGTAGGAAATGAAAGGGAAGCTGCTGTAGCATTAATGGCATCCTGACCAAGCATTCATGTATTAAAAGCTTTGATCTTTGAGTTAGTGGAGGAGTTTGCAAGTCAAAATTGGTGGTCTTCAACTCTCTTTTTTGTCTAATTCATATTTTACTTTTTGTTTCGTTAGTAATCATTAGTTTAAGTTATTAATTTTGATTTAGTTTACGAGTTTTTGTTGTTTTATTCTTAGTTGTAAGTAAAATTTGGTATTGGCCTATATATAGTTGTACAATTTTATTAGCATGTAATAGTTGGATTAAGCTTAAGCAGCAAGTGATTAAACGTGATTTATCTATCTTTGCTTAAAACCTGCAAATTACGCGTTGTCTTTATTAAAAGGGAAAATTACAATATTGACCAAAGTAAGTAGGGTCGTTTTTACTTTTACAAAATAATCATTAATTTTTTTTCAATTATTTTATTTTATTTTATTTTTTTGTGGTGAGAGTATTAACAAAAACAATTTCTTAATGACAGTAGCGCTCATCATTCTTATTATTATTTTTTGTGATAAGAACAAAAACGTGATCATATTGTTAACTAATTGTCTCTTGGTGGCTATTTTTATGATTTTGCCCTTTCTTAAAACTATCATTATCTTTGGTTGTGTTTGTTAAGCGTACGGAAACGACTTTTTCTCCGTTCCTTATCTCTTTTAAATGCTATTTATGGCAGGTTTTGAGTAGACTTTTGAAATTTGTCATTTAGGCCGGGGGGAGTGGCGTAAGTGCCCCGAGCTCCACCTCAACCAAACACTATTTTCTTCTTTGTAACGCCAAACAGAAGGAGTGGGGAAGAAGAGGTTGCCGAGTGAGGAAGAAGAAAGGAGAAGAGAGAGGAGTAGCACGTCAGAAACCCATAGAGATTGGTCACCGAAATCGGCATGTCGAGTTCATGGCACAACGTTTGCCGAGTCTAGGTAGGATTCGCCAAGGGCTGCCGACCCGCATTCCGTCGAGCGTCAAAGGATGCAGGATGTCATTTTTGCCATGTTAATTAAAAAAAATAGTAAAGTTTTTGTGATTGGTTGGTCAAAAAGTCAAATAGGGGAGAGTGCTTGACAATAAGTTGCCGAATAGATATGCTATTTTTGCCATGTTGCGGTCATGACGTGGTTTGTCAAATGTCAAATAGGCAAATGCCGAGTGGTTACCGATACCACTCCACATAGCCTTAAAGCTTTCTTATTATGGTTTGGGTATCTCAAATTCTTAATGAGTTGTCAAGTGAGTCATCTAAAAAAAAAGATAGTTTTAGTTTTCTAATCAATATGATATGTTTTCTATAATGATATTCAAAACTTTAAGTTTAAAAAATCCAATCAATCTTCATATTAAAGATAATCATTTTTTTCCGTTTAGGTTATTTTATTTATAGACAAAACTACAAAAATGGTCCCTATAGTATATATTTTTTCCCGGATTTGATCGAAACCACAACTTTTTTGCATTGATGGTCCTTTTGTGTGTGTATGTGTTTTTGGTCCTTCAAAAAACTAAAAAGACTAAAATACCCATTTGATACATTGTTTATGTTTTTTTATATTTAATTTAAAATTTTATTAATAAAAATTATAGGCTCCACTTTTTTTTTCTCTCTCTCTCTCTCCCTCATCTCTCTCAAGAACATCTTCCGTCACCACCATTGTTTGCCACCATAGACCACCACCACAATCCGCCATGATCACCGTCTGCCACCTCCATTTCCAACTAATTTTTTTCTAATACTTCATCCCCGCCTAAAAACCATCCTATAAACAAAAACCTTCCACAAACACATACAAATTGATTTCTTGGATGAACACCTACACACAAATCGATTTCTAGAAATGAAAAAGCACACATATTCACATAGTGAAATCGATGAAAATCCAGGTGAAATGGGTTTCTCTCATTGTGAATTAGTTGGATTGTTTCCTTACCATTACCTGATTCATCAAAGGAAGATGAGGGCTCCTCTATTCATCATCTTCTTTGAGAACCACACCTTCACCTGGTAAGTACCTACCCTCCCACCCCCTCTTTCTAAAATCACCCATCATATCCCTTTGTACTTTGATTCATCATTTGCAGATCTCACAGATCCTCCTCTCCTTCTTCAAATCTAAAGGCGGGTTTAAAATAAAAGAGAAAGATGTGAGCCAACACCCACCAAACAACAACACATTTAACCAATAAGAACCCCTCATCATTTTCACGTTGGTGATGGATGATAGATCGATTACCACTATCATCCATGATAGAAAAAGGGAAAAAGAAGGGAGAAGACGAAGACCAGGAGCTGTGATTTTTTCGGTTGCCATCACAAAACAGGTACACAATGAAGGTTAGGAAGAACATAGCCTTATGTTGAAGTGGAAATGTTGGAAAGATTCCAAAGACTATTTGCCTACAACTGCAATACAGAAATCACATAGAAAAGAAAAAAAGAACCACTATTCTTGTTTTCTTTACACTCAAACCTGCAAAAATCATATTCGAAGGAGTAGGAGCTGGGCATATCATTTTTTTTCTTTTGGATTCTAACCTATAACTAAGATAGAGATTGTAACGCCTGCAAGATAGGGCTAGATAATTTAGATATAATAAATAATAAAACGACGACATTTTGATAGAAGATTATTTAGGATAAGTAATCTTAACAAAAGTTATAGTATATATGATAATGATTTCGTACATATAAAAACCTTTTAAATCCGACTTCATATGAAAAAGTTATGCTTCTTCGAAGTTTCGCAATTAAACCGACATGACTGTGCGCGTCGTAAAAAGCGGATTTTAGATAGGTTGCTTATTAGCCTAAAGGCATCTACATTCCATTGAACTCTACTCGAAAGAGTTCAACGGATTGTCACATCGCTGCCACATCATCATTTTAATTTTTATTCAACTATACTCTTTAATATTTACACTCTATTAAACCCTACAAAGTTTAATGGATTTCCATATCATCATCATTATATTTATAAACATAATTATAAATTTAAAATTAATGTGTAATATTTTATCGAAATAAGTAATTATCAGATTTGTAATGGATATATTTCTTTTTCATGTAACATCCTGATGTCAAGGTAATCCTATTTCCAGTCCTTTAATCTAATTATATTGCAATTGGTCTCAAAGTTCAACAATTATAAGCATAATGGCCTTAATGGTGTTATGGTAATTATGGTTTCGGAGTACGCCATGCGTACGAGGTGTACGCTAAGCATACTAGGGCGCGCCCTAGTACGCTGGGCATATATCTTGGTACGCTGGGCGTGCTTCCTAAAAGTCGAAACCCTAATTTTTAGGGTTTGGCAAGTATTTAAACATCCTTAAATCTCATTTCTTCCCTACTTTTCAGTCTCCATTAGTAGAAATCGAGTTCCCTTGTAACCCTATCCTCTCTTGAGACCTTGGAAGCTTGAGTATGACTTTGTGAGTGTTCCATAAGAAAAAGAAGGTGGCGATAAAGCTTGGAAGCTTGAAGAAAGGCTTGGATCTGGAAATTTGGCTCCTTTCTCCATCATCTTAAGGTATAAAGTTCATACCTTGATGACTTGTTTACTAGATCTCATTTTTGGGTGTTTTATGTTACTTTTTGGTCCCAAAAGTCCCATCTTGAGCATGACAAGTTTTGGATTTTTTGAGTTGTCCTTTCAGACCCTAGGAGGGGTCCTTACTTATAAAAATGAAGTCCCTTTAGTTAGATTTGCTCAATTCATCTTGTATAAGGTCTTAATGGATTAAGACCCAGTGTTAAGCACTTTGTGGACTTGTAAAGTCATAAAGTTGGAAACTTTATGACTCTAGGGTGCAGTTGGACCGTAGATATGAAGTATGGGCTTAAGTGCTTAATCCATTAAGCACTAAATGGATATTGAAGGTTGCGAGGGTATGCCCCGCGTACTCAGTCAACCACCCCAATGGTGGTCTTCTATGAGGATTGGAGTACGCTAAGCGTACCTCCGGAGTACGCCCCGCGTATTCCCATGGGTCAACCATGTTGAGTTGACTCAGTTGATTTGGTGGGTTTGACCACTTGACTTTGATTTTGATCAAGTTTGACTTTGAGGGCATTTCGGGTATTTTGGGATTTTGATGGAATCGGTCACTTGGTGGAAATAGGTATCGGTTAGAGAGCTGAGATTTAGAGTCGGACTTCATCAGTTCTGTTCAGTTTGCGAAGTGAGTTTTCCTCACTGTATTTACGGGTCAAAGGCACCAAGGCCCGTCCATTGGTTTGATAACCTAATATTCATTGATATGCTGAGTATGGAATAGATATGCATGCTAGTTTTGATATGCTAGCCTGGTAGATCGGTAGGAGTACATGTGATATTGTTTGTATAATTATCTATATATGTTAGTATATGTTATATGTATACAAATGGTGTGGGTGGGTTGAGGTTCTACTGCTCCGTGTTGTAGCCAACAAACCTTGGAGCAATCCAAATATGAGCTGAGGGTCGGGTAGGGCATGCCAAACTCATATTGAGGACTCATGAGCATTTCAAATACGAGCTGAGGGCCGTGTAAGGCGTGTCAGACTCGTACTGAGGGATTGTTGGTATGCAGTCCGAGGACTGATCTGGTCAGAGAGCAAGCTAGACATAAGCTGTGAGCCCCAAGGGAAAGCCAGACTTATGTTATGGGTTCAGGGTTATCCAGTCTTTTATTTGTGGGCCCATTGCATGTTGTTATTGTATATGCCTTATTTGTTGTGTGTTGGTACTTTGGGGGAACTCACTAAGCTTTGGGCTTACAGTTTTGGGTTATGTTTCAGGTACCTCAGATGATCGTGGAAAGGCGAAGGCGTGATCGTGCACCTCCTCGTGTTTTGATTTATGATTTTGGGAAAACTCTG